AGGCCCTGCACCCCTGAGATGTTCTACAAGAAAAGGGTCCATTTCTGGCACTTCCCCTCTGCCTATGGCCACCACACTCACCTTCAAGCAGATACTCTTTCTCCCTGGTGGAGGCCTCAGGGCTGACCTCACAGGACCCTGAGACTCTCTGGATATTATTCCTTCAACTTCAGGATCTGGATAAAGTGGCTCCTAATCCAAAGCACAGTCAGGTGAGGGAGGCAGGTGGGGCTCAGAGGTGTGGCAGAGATCCCCTAAACCTCCCTAAGGCTCACCCACAGGTCTGCCGGCCCTCTCCAGCCTTCCTCTCCCATCAACCCCCTGCTCTACCATCTGGGGTTCTCCTCATACAGGGGGATTATCGCTCTTGAAAGTAGGGTGATGCGCGGGTGGGGAACAGAGAGAGAGGTGGGTCCCTGTCCTCACAGGGGATGGCTGCCAGGCCTGCAGAAGGGGCTGAGAGCAACAGGACCCCCCGCACTCCGGGCCCTGGCACATTCCCTTTCTACTCCCTAGCCCGTCCCCTTTTATGTCTGGTATCCCCCATCCACAACCCCTCACTTGTGGGAGGACCCCATCTCTGCCTCCTCCCCAACCCAAACCCCCATCTCCAACCTCCTCCCCACCAGATGCTTCTGTCCGTTGGCCACATCCACATCTCCCTGTCCTTCCCCACCAGGTGCCCTGTTCCAGGCCCTTACCCATCCAAGGCCTCCCTCCCCAGACCCTCCCCCGCATGGGTCCCCCATCTTAAGTCCCTGCCCTTCCCCCATCTCATGTCCAGGCCTCTTCCCAGTACCTCTGTCCCAGGCCTTGCCCACCTGGGTGTCCCCCAACTCCAGCCCCTCACCTGTCTGAGGCCCCTGTTTTCCCGGAGGTGTCCCCTGCTGGCTCCTTCCTTTCCTCAGGCAGGTTGCCCGACATCTCCTGGCTTGCTATGGGCAGGACTGACTTCACCTCTCCACCCCAGGCCTTCTTGCTCTTGCGGGTGTAGGTCCCCATACCCCCCATGCCCAGCTTTGAGGATGCTGCCGTGACAGTTGTGAGAAGCCCCTGGGTACGGCCACAGAGAAGGCATGGGGCCGCAAGGCAGATGATCCCAGCCCCCTCCCCCCGTTACATCCCGCTCAGCTCATCATCAGGGAAATGGCACCCTGGTCTGGCAAGGGGAGTGCCTGGGCTCCCGCCAGGGCTGTATCAGAGCTCCTCGGACTGTCCTTGCTCCCCACGAGGGAATGGAAAAAGTGGAACATGGAGGAGCACCCCGAAATTTGTGATTGGGGCTTCGGAGCTGGGGCCTCAATCCTGATAAGGTCCCCAACGCAGATCCTGTAGCAGCCACCCCAGGACCAACTGCTTAAGAACAGGAGGAGTTTTCAGATTAAAACCTCCAGTTGGAAACTTCCCGGAATTCTGGAAGGCAAAGATGGGGGAAGACGGGGGGTTGGGGGAGATTAGTTGGAGGTAGAGGGGGCAGGGGTTTGATGAAACAGGGAAGGAGGTGTAGGGGGGAGGCACGGGGTTTGGGGGACAGGGGGTGGAGACTTGGGAGACGAAGATGTGAGAGACCCAGGAAGCTTGGCAGGGAGCAAACAGGGAGAAGCAGGGAGGGAACTGAACCCTGAAGGCAGGGGGCTGTCGAGGACTGCACACACCTCTGTCCTCTTGGGTTTGTTCTGTCCTCAAGAACACTCCCAGCAGCCAGACAGTATGTCTTCCCTCTTAGCATCCAGGTTTTATGTGTCCAGGTGGTAGCACAGACCCCGCTAAGTCTATTTATTTAGTTGTTTTTATTTTTATTTTTAATTTTTTGAGATGGAGTCTAGCTCTGTCTCCAGGTAGGAGTGCAGTGGCGCGATCTTGGCTCACTGCAACCTCCACCTCCCAGCTTCAAGCGATTCTCCTGCCTCAGCCTCCTGAGTAGCTGGGACTACAGGCGCCTACCACCACGCCCGGCTAATTTTTGTATTTTAGTAGAGACGGGGTTTCACCATGTTGGCCAGGAAGGTCTCGATCTCTTGACCTCGTGACCCACCTGCCTTGGCTTCCCAAAATGCTGGGATTACAGGTGTGAGCCACCGCACCCAACCCTATTTTTATTTTATTTTTTTGAGACAGGGTTTCGTTCTTGTCACCCAGGCTGGAGTGCAGTGGTGCAATCTCAGCTCACTGCCACCTCCGCCTCCCGGGTTCAAGTGATTCTCCTGCCTCAACCTCCCGAGTAGCTGGGATTATAAGTGCACGCCACCGTGCCCGCCTTTTATTTGTGTGTGTGATGGAGTTTCGCTCTTGTTGACCAGGCTGGAGTGCAATGGCTCAATCGCAGCTCACCGCAACTCTGCCTCCCGGGTTCAAGCGAGTCTCCTGCCTCAGTCTCCCGAGTAGCTGGGATTACAGGTATGTGCCACCACGCCTGGCTAATTTTGTATTTTTAATAGGGATGGGGCTTCTCCATGTTGGTCAGGCTGGTCTCAAACTTCCAACCTCAGGTGATCCGCCAGCCTCGGCCTCCCAAAGTGCTGGGATTACAGGCGTGAGCCACTGCACCTGACCATTTTTTTTTTTTTTTGAGACGGAGTCTCGCTCTGTCGCCCAGGCTGGAGTGCAGTGGCGCGATCTCGGCTCACTGCAAGCTCCGCCTCCCGGGTTCACGCCATTCTCCTGCCTCAGCCTCCCGAGTAGCTGGGACTACAGGCGCCCACAACCGCGCCCGGCTAATTTTTTGTATTTTTAGTAGAGACGGGGTTTCACTGTGGTCTCGATCTCCTGACCTTGTGATCCGCCCGCCTCGGCCTCACAAAGCGCTGGGATTACAGGCGTGAGCCACCGCGCCCGGCCAATTTTTTTTTTTTTTTTTTTTAAACAGAGTCTCATTCTGTTGCCATTCTGCTGCCCAGGCCAGAGTGCAGTGGCGTGATCTTGGCTCACCGCAAACTCCGCCTCCTGGTTCACGCCATTCTCCTGCCTCAGCCTCCGTGTAGCTGGGACTACAGGCACCCGCCACCATGCCTGGCTAATTTTTTTGTATTTTTAGTAGACACGGGGGTTTCACCATGTTAGCCAGGATGGTCTCGATATCCTGACCTCGTGATCCGCCTGCCTCGGCCTCCCTTTTTTGTATTTTTAAAAGAGACAGGGTTTCGCTGTGTTGGGCAAGCTGGTCTTGAACTCCTGGCCTCAGGTGATCTGCCTGCCTAGGGCTCCCAAGGTGCTGGGATTACAGGCGGGAGCCACCATGCCCGGCCTTTTTTTTTTTTAGACAGAACTCTCCCTCTGTTGCCCTGGTACGATCACAGCTCACTGCAGCCTCAACCTCCTGGGCTCAAGCAATCCTCCCACCTCAGCCTCCCCAGTAGTTAAGACCACAGGCATACACCACCATGCTTTGCCAATTTTTTTTTTTTCCATATAAGCAGGGTATTGCTGTTGCCCAGGCTGGCCTGGAACTCCTGCACCTGGCCTCAAGCGATTCTCTTGCCTTGGCCTCCCAAATGGCTGGGATGGGATTATAGGCAGCCTGGAGGGGTGATGGGATTATAGGCGTGACACACCACAGCTGGCTGCCTTTTTTGTTGTTGTTGTTGAGACAGGGTCTTGCTCTGTCACCCAGGCTGGAATGCAGTGGTGCAAACATGGCTCACTGCAGCCTCAACTTCCGCAGCTCAGGTGATCCTCCTGCCTCAGTATCCTAGGTAGCTGGGACCACCACACGCACAGGTGTGAACCACCATACCCAGCTAGTTTTTAATTTTTTTTCTGTAGAGACATGGTCTCCCTTTGTTGCCCAGGCTGGTCTTGAACTCCTGGGGTCAAGTAATCCTCCCACCTCGGCCTTCCAAAGTGTTGGGATTACAGGCGTGAGCCACCGTGCCCGGCCTCTATTGAGTTTTAATCTCCGTTTACTTCACTATCACCTTCAGGATTTCAGATCTCCAGAGACCACCAAGGTGCATGGTGCACAGGTCTGAATTGCAGGTTGAATCTCAATTTAGTATTAGTATTCCCCAACGCGACTACAGAACTGATTTTTTTTTTTTTTTTTTTTTGAGACGGAGTCTGGCTCTGTTGCCCAGGCTGGAGTGCAGTGGCTGGATCTCAGCTCACTGCAAGCCCCGCCTCCCGGGTTCACGCCATTCTCCTGCCTCAGCCTCCCGAGTAGCTGGGAGTACAGGCAACCGCCACCTCGCCCGGCTAATTTTTTTTGTATTTTAGTAGAGATGGGGTTTCACCGTGTTAGCCAGTATGGTCTCGATCTCCTGACCTCATGATCTGCCCGTCTCGGCCTCCCAAAGTGCTGGGATTACAGGCTTGAGCCACCGCGCCCGGCCTGAACTGATTATTACTATTTTTTTTTTTTTTTTTTTTGAGATGGAGTCTTGCACCGTCCCCCGGGCTAGAGTCCAATGGTGCGATCCTGGCTCACTGCAACCTCCGCCTCCCGGGTTCAAGCGATTCTCCTGCCTCAGACTTCTAAGTAGCTGGGATTACAGGCGCCCGCCCACCACGCCCAGCTGATTTTGTTAGCCAGAATGGTCTCAATCTCTTGACCTAGTGATCCGCCCGCCTCAGCCTCCCCAAGTGCTGGGATTACAGGCATGAGCCACCACGCCCGGCCCAGAACTGATTATTAACCCAGCTCAGTGACCTTTAGAGAGCACCTTAAACCAGCTGAGCCTCTGTTTGTTCATCTGAATGGGTATTGTCAACAGCACTCACTTACAAGAGTTGTTGAGAAGATCCAACGAGACAATAGTTGCTAAAGTGCCAGGCATGCAGCAGTGCTTAAGAAACTTCTCACCCTGGGTTTTTATTGGTATTGATTGATGTAGAGATGGGGGAGAAGATCAAAGACAAGGATTGAGAATCAGGGATGGGAAAAGCAGTGGGCCACTGACAGCCGCTCTGCCTGGCTGGGAGGTGGGGTGGGGAAAGTGGGCGGGAGCTGCTCCTGGGCCTGGCCCACCCAGATCACCCCTCCGGGCTGCAGGCCTGTGCGTCTGCATCCGGTGGCCACAGAGCAACTTCCTCTAGAGGGAGCTGATTGGAGCCGGTTGCCGCTGGCACCTCTATGATCACTGGAGTCTCGCGGGTCCCTCAGGCAGCACAGGGACAAGCAAAGGCTACATCCAGATGCCAGGAATGCACTGACGCCTGTTCCTGGAAGCCGAGCTCCCACTCAGCCCCTGGGAGCAGCAGCCGCCAGCCCCTCGGGACCTCTCTCTCTGCCCTGCTGAGCCACCCGGGTTGGGCCAGGATCCTGGCAGGTAAGCTGGAAGGGTCCTGCCCGTCCTCCCAAATCTCAGCAGCCCCAGCCCCAGGGTGGGGCAGGGAGCCTGCCAGGAGCCGGGTGGGGAAGGGGAAGCTCAAAGCTTACCTGGGCAGGTCCGCCTGCCCGGCTGGGGACCTGATCGTGGCAAGCCTACTTCTGGCTGCCCCTCACAGCTTCCCCTCTTGCCCCAGCCCTGGATGCCGGAGAACTGTGAGAACTGGGTCCTTTAACAGTCTGGGAGATGGGGGTGGAGGTCAGAGCCAAGGTCAAGGGCAGAGAGAGAACTTTCTCAGCGCTTCCTGCTGCCCAACATCCCTAGACTGGGTCCAGGGCCTGGCCAGGCATGTATCCCTGGGGAACATTCATCAGGGCCCAGCAAGCCCAGGAAGTCGGGGGTGGCTCCCCTCACCGGGAATTTAGGCCACTTGGATTGGGGGACAGAGCTAGGCCTGAGTCAGCATAGGTTGCTGGCCTTGGGGGGTGTCCTGAGGCTCTACCTGCTCCCCTCAGGAGCCTGGGTTGTTGGTAGAGGGAGTTGGGGGTGCCGTCAGCATCCTCTGGCCCTACTGTCCTGAGGGTGCTGGGTTCTGGAGACTGGGGAAGAAGGAAGGCCATCTTATTTAAGGAGCTCCGGGGGGGTGGGGGTTTTATTTTTTGTTTTTTGAGACAGAGTCTCACTCTGTTGCCCAGGGTCGAGTGCAGTGGCGCGATTTCGGCTCACTGCAACCTCCGCCTCCCAGGTTCAACCGATTCTCCTGCCTCAGCCTCCCGAGTAGTTGGGACTACAGGCGTGCGCCACCATGCCCAGCTAATTTTTGTATTTTTAGTAGAGACGGTGTTTCATTATGTTGGCCAGGCTGGTCTTGAACTCCTGACCTCGTGGGCCACTGTGCCCGGCTGCAAAGTTCTGTTTTAACAAGGCCTTGCCCCTAGAGGTGGAGGAAAGGAGAGTCTGCCTTCGCCCTGTCCGTGTCCGGCAGAGCAAGGAGTGGGGAGCTGGGTGAGGGCACAGGTGGTCCAGTCCTCCTCCACCCCTTCTCGAGAGCTCTTGGGGCAGTTTCGAAAACACTCCCAGGCCTAGCGGAAGGAGGGTGGGCGAAGGTCCCCAGGCCCTGGGCGGTGGGGGTGGGGCTGTGTGCTTGGCCCAGGGTGGGGCTGCACACCCCCTCCCTCTGAGATAGGAGGAGGGCGCTTTCCTTCTGAGGGCCGGAGGGTGCCTGGGGAAATGGGGCTCTGGGAGGGGTGCAAACTGAAAGTGAAACAGCTGACATCCAGGAAACGCCCTGATGAGGGGTCACAGCACGTTGGTGCTGCGGTCAGGACCAGGCAAAGAGGAAAGTTGGCTGGGGACAGAAGACTAGGTGTGTGGTGGGAATACGAGGCAGGTTGTGGGGCTTCGAAGAAGGCCCTGATCCTGAGGGCTCCCTCCGGTCACTGCAAGGCAGGGGTGAGGAAGGCACAGGCAGGAGGTAAACAGGGAAAGTTGCCCTGAGAAGGGACACCCTCTGAGGTCCACAAACAAGAAGAAATCTTAAATGCTTGTTGAGTACATGGACTCATGGAGATTCAGACAAACAACCCGACTTTCCGTCACTAATGATGTGACCTCGGGCACTCAACTCTTTATGCCTCACTTTTCCAGCCTGCAAAGTGGGTATGATGGTGCTCACCCTGCTGGGTTCATGTGAGTTTTCAATGTTCAACACCTAGAGTGCTCCTAAGTGGGAGAGTATATCTTAGGCTCTCAGGAAATGTTTGCGGCTAACAGCCCAGAGTTAAAAAACAGGTGTGTTCTGACCAGCCAGAGGGAAGTAGGGCCTCTGAGGGCAGCCTTCATGGGCCATTGGCTGGGCAGTGGCTCGCTTGCAATAAGCATGTGCTGGGTGGGCTGCAGGAGGCCCCAGGAACAGCTAAAACCCCCCAGGCTCTTGCCCCAGGAGTGGTATGAGCTTGAGAGCCAGCGGGCACTGCTGCAGCCACACTCTCCTCGAGGGTGCAGATACCTCAGTCTGCCCTTGGCTGCCTCACCTTCTTACCCTGTCTCCCTCGAAGGGTCACCAGTGAAGTGCTCAGAAGTTGTTTCCTCCCAGCAGACTTCACTGGGACCCATGCTGGAGTGAGAATAAAAAGTCCCAGAGGAAGCCAGGCACAGTGGCTCACACCCGTAATCCCAGCACTTTGGAAAGCAGAGGCAGACTCACAGGTCAGGAGTTTGAGACCAGCCTGGCCAAAGTCCCAGAGGACTGAGGGCCTTTCTGGGAATGGGGAACCCTCTCTCCTATGTGGACATGGCAACCTGTCTGGGGTCCCCAGTCACAGGTCCATGCTCACCCCATCTCTGCTTTTTCTCGCCCATCCCCGCAGGCTGACCCCGTCCTCCACTGAGACCTGAAAAATGGCTTCGGGACAAGGCCCAGGTCCTCCCAGGCAGGAATGCGGAGAGCCTGCCCTGCCCTCTGCTTCTGGTAAGGGTCTTCCTGCCCCTCACCCATCCCATAACCATGAGTGCTGTCATGAGGATGGAAGGAGCAGGACTCAGAGGCAGGCTCCTTCACCTCGGTTCACCCACTGTGGGTGGGAACCCACGGGCTCAGAGGCTGAAGCTGCTGTCAAGGTTAAGCCTGGGAGGGGGAGGAGTCTGGACTGGGGAGGGCCTGGAGGTTGGGAGAGGCCAGGAAGTGAGTGTAAGGTGGGCACAGTGCCACCGGAGCAGAGGGCGGGGTCAGGGGCGAGGGAGGCAGGAAGTAGAGTGAGGTCTGGCTGCTGTATCCCTCCAGCTGGAGAAATAAGGAAGTAAGCTGGCCAATCACCCAGTCAGGTCTGCTCAACAGGGAACGCAATTATTGTGACTTGGGGAGGAAGTAAGATGGCTGCCCTCCTTCCTTCTTCCCAGGGGACAGCCAGGGAAGCCCCAGCTCACACCCCACGGTGGGCTGTTCCCTGGACTTGGGAATCAGCTCCCAGGTCTGTCACTATCTCCCTGTGTGACTTTTCTGGGTTGAGGCTACAATTTCAGATTTTGTTTCCCACATTTCCCTGCACACAAAGGGCTGCGGAGCTGAGATGTACTAACGTAGACTCAAGAGCCCAAATGCCTGGGACTGTCCCAGCTCCCCGGCTTGTTCTGGCTATATGACCTTGCACACGTTAGACACCCTGTGTCATTTTCCCCCTGCAATCTGGAGATTGCCTGCTCCCAGGGCTACTGTGAAGACCCAATGCAAGTGCTGGAACAACTCTCCACACAGCATAAGTTCTAGGGCGGCTAAGGCTCTGAAGTAGGGATCTTTCTTTTCTTTCTTTTATTTTCTTTCTTTCTTTTCTTTTCTTTTCTTTTCTTTTCTTTTCTTTTCTTTCCAGAGTTTCGTTCTTATTGCCTAGGCTAGAGTGCAGTGGCGCGATCTTGGCTCACTGCAACCTCCGCCTCCTGGGTTCCAGTGATTCTCCTGCCTCAGCCTCTTGAGTAGCTGGGATTACAGGCATGTGCCACCACGCCCGGCTAATTTTGTATTTTTAGTAGAGACGGGTTTCTCCATGTTGGTCAGGCTGGTCTTGAACTCCCGACCTCAGGTGATCTACCTGCCTCGGCCTCCCAAAGTGCTGGGATTATAGGTGTGAGCCACTGTGCCCGTCCAGGATATTTCTTTCCATGGGTGAGGACAGCTATGGCCTTAGGAAGAGCGAACCCTCGATAAGGCATGGGGCTGCCAGGGTTCGGCCCTCTCTCCCTGACTCCCAGCTTTGATCTTCAGAGGAGCAGGTAGCCCGGGACACAGAGGAGGTTTTCCGCAGCTACGTTTTTTACCGCCATCAGCAGGAACAGGAGGCTGAAGGGGCGGCTGCCCCTGCCGACCCAGAGATGGACACCTTGCCCTTGCAACCTAGCAGGTAAGTTACAACCGCTGGGCCCACAAGGACATCTTCAGGGAGGCAGTGGCTCGCACGGGTCTCTGTGCAGGTCCTGGGAGCTGGGGAGACCTGAGGGGTCTTGCCCTTCTCTCATGGTTGCTCCTCTTTCATGTTGGGCTCCCACCCCCATCCAGGACCTTGTATCCTTTTTAGCCCATGCCCGCCCCTTGTCCCAGAGGCCAACACTCCTGTCTTAGAACATTGTCGGGGACCTCCAAGAAGGGGTGCACAGGGCCATGGACAGCTCAGGCAGAACCCCTCTGCCATGAGCCAAGGCCTGGCCCTGACTGCCTGGTTACCGCTCACCTGCCTGCCTCCTGCTCCTACAGCACCATGGGGCAGGTGGGACGGCAGCTCGCCATCATCGGGGACGACATCAACAGACGCTATGACTCAGAGTTCCAGACCATGCTGCAGCACCTGCAGCCCACGGCAGAGAACGCCTATGAGTACTTCACCAAGATTGCCTCCAGGTACCCCTGCCGGCTCCAGTCACTCCCCTGTCCTGTCACAACCACACCATACCCTGCCTGCATGATGCGCTCCTGGCATGGGGAGATGCCTTCTGTCAGTCAGTGTCCAGTGTCTGCTGTGAACTCACATGTGGTCTCAGCCCCCTGTTTTTCTCTCTCGGGGTCCCAGACTCGTCTTGTGGGCATTAGCTCACAGCTCTTTTGATCTCTGACTCCAAGGACTTGACTGGTTAGATCAGGACTCTAGAGGGGGCCTGAGGTGGGGATGTTGCCCACAGCTCCCCGGCCCAGCTGGGACACAGCTATCCTTCATGGTTCCAATTTGACACCACATATCACACTGAAGATGGTAAGGGTGCTAACCTCTGCCAGGTCCTAGAAATGGCTCCTAGTTGCTATAATCTGGCATCCAAGTGGTTAAAGACACCAAATATTTGGGTGTAAATCCAAGCTTTGCCCCTTCTGCCTTTGTGAAACTTCCTAGCCCTTAGTCTCCTGGTTTGTAAAATAGGGAAAATATGCTTAGCTCAGTGTCCTCCTTACAAAGTGTTAGCCATTGCTACCACCAGAGTTAGGGAGGTCAGTGTCGGGGTAGATTGAAGCGGGAGGTGAAGGTAGGAGTGATGGATTTTAGAATTAGTGCTCAGAGCTGAAATATCCAGCCCGTGAACTTAGAGGCCAGCCTTCATACCACTGTGATGACAGGAACTACCCTAATCTTCTCTGTCCTTTTCTCTCTGCCGTCTCTCGGGCTGCCAGGCCAGCAGCAACACCCACAGGTAATCTCCCTGCGGATTCCATCCACTCGCTCTGTCCTCTGCCCTCTCTGTGCCCCACTGCACCTGAGCGTACACCCCAGCAGTGGCATCCAGCTCATCTGGCCCTGAGCTTTCTCCTTTCGCATAGACCCGGGTTGTTCCCAAATACAGGCCAGGCTGGGGTAGCCTCTGTGGCCTTAATTCACAACCAAGCTATATTTAGTTTTTCAGCTGGGAGAGGGGTGGGAGAGGCCAGGCAGGCTGAAGGGCTCCCTGGGGGCTCTCCACCAACGGTATGGGATGCTCTACCCACAGCCTGTTTGAGAGTGGCATCAACTGGGGCCGTGTGGTGGCTCTTCTGGGCTTCGGCTACCGTCTGGCCCTACACGTCTACCAGCACGGCCTGACTGGCTTCCTGGGCCAGGTGACCCGCTTCGTGGTCGACTTCATGCTGCATCACTGCATTGCCCGGTGGATTGCACAGAGGGGTGGCTGGGTGAGTATCCAAGGATTGCAATGTCCTCCCTGCTGTTGGGGCTGCCCCTCTCTCAGGCCCCGCCCCTTCCCTGGGTGCCTGTATTTTCTGCCAGCCTCTCTGTGACCACCTTGTTTCTCCCGGCAGGTGGCAGCCCTGAACTTGGGCAATGGTCCCATCCTGAACGTGCTGGTGGTTCTGGGTGTGGTTCTGTTGGGCCAGTTTGTGGTACGAAGATTCTTCAAATCATGACTCCCAAGGGTGCCCTTTGGGGTCCCAGCTCAGACTCCTGCCTGGACTTAAGCCAAGTTTTTGCCTTCTCCGCTCCCTTGCAGGGGTCCCCCCTCAAGAGTACAGAAGCTTTAGCAAGTGTGCACTCCAGCTTCGGAGGTCCCCTGTGTGGGGGCCAGTCAGGCTGCAGAGGCGCCTCAACGTTGCATGGTGCTAGTGGGCCCTCTCTGGGCCCAGGGGCCGTGGCCTCCTCCCTCGGCTCTCTGGGACCTCCTTAGCCCTGTCTGCTAGGAGCTGGGGAGACTGATAACTTGGGGAGGCAAGAGACTGGGAGCCACTTCTCCCCAGAAAGTGTTTCATGGTTTTAGCTTTTTATAATACCCTGTGAGAGCTATTCCCACCATTCTACCTGAGGCCAGGACGTCTAGGGTGTGGGGGTTGGTGGGTATACCCTATGTTCCCCAGGATTCAGCTGTTATGGAAGATCAGAGCCTAAGAGCTGGGACTGGGACTTGAGCCTGGTCCTGGCCCTCCCTAAGCATCGTGTGTCCCAGGAGCAGGACCTACTAGGAGAGGGGGGCCAAGGTCCTGCCCAACTCTCCCCCTGCTCCCATTCCTCCCTCCGACCATACTGCCTTTGCAGTTGGACTCTCAGGGATTCTGGGCTTGGGGTGTGGGGTGGGGTGGAGTCGCAGACCAGAGCTGTCTGAACTTAGGTGTCAGAAGCCTCCAAGCCTGCCTCTCAAGGTCCTCTCAGTTCTCTCCCTTCCTCTCGCCTTATAGACACTTGTCCCAACCCATTCACTACAGGTGAAGGACCTCACCCCCATCCCTGGGGGCCTTGGTTGAGTGGCCTGCTAAGGCCCCTCCTTGCCTCGACTACAGGGCTTAGGACTTGGTTTGTTATTTCAGGGAAAAGGAGTAGGGAGTTCATCTAGAGGGTTTTAAGTGGGAGGACTATCAACACCACTAGGAATCCCAGAGGTGGGATCCTCCCTCATGGCTCTGGCACAGTGTAATCCAGGGGTGTAGATGGGGGAACTGTGAATACTTGAACTCTGTCCCCTCACCCTCCATGCTCCTCACCTGTTTAGGTCTCTCCTCAGGGTAGGGGTTAGAGTGCCTTCTCTACTGGGCACAGCCTAGGGTCTTGTGGGAGAGGGGGGAGAAGTTCTTGATTCAGCCAAATGCGGGGGGGGGGGGGCAGATGGAGCCCATAGGCCACCCCCTATCCTCTGAGTGTTTGGAAATAAACTGTGCAATCCCCTCACCCTGACTTAGTAGTTTTTGTATTCTCTGCTACCCCTCTTTGCATCAGGCCAGACTGTGGGAACCTGCGCGTGCCTGGCACGCTTCTGGCTTATTACTGAAAAAACCTCACACTAGGCCCCCAGAATCCCATAGAGGTCTGAGTATGGTTCTGCAGCCCCCAGCCCGATGGAAGGCCTCGGCCCCTCCCCATGCACTTCCTTCATCTCTTTGGGTTTCATGCAGTTTCCCACCCTTTAGGGAATCTGGAAGATCCTTTAGCTACGGAGCTGGTGGAGCAGCTGCACATATCTGAGGACCCCCACAGGCCACCTCAGACCTGGGCTGAATTCTTCTCCCAGCCTGGGGTTACCACCCACGCTGGTCCAAAAGGCCCTTCTCCCCCACATTTAGCTCTGCCTGGGACACAATGTCCCAGCTCCCCCTTCATGATGTCTCCACAGTCAGCACACACGCAGGGCTTTCATTCTAGTTTTATGCTGCTTGGGAGTCCCTATGGGGACGCAGCCAGGGGTGATAAAAATAACAAGCATGGGGGCGTTGAAATGTTCCAAAATCTACAGTCTTTCCAGTCCTGGGCACCCTGGTCTGTGTTTCTGACGCCCTTCCAGAACGGTCACATGCAAGTCCAAGAGAACTCGTGAGCTTTACTTTCAACCTTCTGGGGAGGGCTTGCCAAGCCCCTTTTCCTTCCACAAGGTCTTCAGAGTCTAGTACAAATGCAATCTTGGAAAAGGGAGAAGGCGGCGCTGCAGGCAGTGGTGGCTGGAAGGTGGTTGCTACCAGGCACCCCGCAGTGTACAGGAAAAGCTCACAGACAACATTTATAGAACACGTACTGTGTGCCAGGCTTTATGCTGAGAGTTCATCATCTGCCCAAATAATAGGTATGGAGACGGGAGTGGGGGTGCTCAAACTACTATTTACAGAAAAGGAAACGGGTGCTTTCTCAGTCACCCAAGTAGTGAAGACTTGCCACCAGGATACTGGCTCGAGTTTTACGTGGAGGCAGGAGGACAATGTGGGGCTTGCGAGCACAGTTTCAGGGGGCCCAGAGTGCAGGGTCGCCTCCGCCCCCGACCGATGCCGTAGAGGCTAGAGGTGGGCGGTTGCCCGAGTCCAAGATGGCCGCCGCCGCCACGAGCACGCAAGCGTGCCCTTCTTTGGGCGGGGCCTCCGGGGCGCACCCCCTCCAGTCTCTGGGCTTTGAACATCGTGTAGCATTGACCGGCGAACAGATCGTTGCATCGCTGGAAGAAAGGCAGGTGGGCTGTGGTTAGCCTACTCGTCTAAGGAGTTGCAACGCTAACCGGAAAGGCATGGGTGGGGCAGCCCAAAAAGTTTTGGCCTGCCCCGCCCCCCAACGCCCTCTATTCTGCTGCCAGGATGTTCTGAAACCAGGGGATGAGAAGTTGTTAGGTCGGACACAGCCAGCCAGGGGCTGCGAGGATAACGGGAGTGTAGGGGCTTTGCGGGTATTAGGGAAGAGAAACCAAAATAACTCATTTCTATCCAAATTGTGCGCTGCTTCTGAGGTTCTGGCTTGGTTTCCACCAAATACGTCTGGGTTCGTCACAGTCTGTGATGTCACTGAGCTGGAGCAGCCCGGCCAGGGAAAGGAGCGGTGTGCAGCTGTCACCTGCTTAGTTCTGCAGTTTCAGTATGGATACCCGCCCTTCCTTGCACACAACAGCCTCACATTCTCCCCACCCCCATCCTGCCGCTTTACCTTCACGTATTTGTTTTTACCTCCTCTGGAGAGTATATATTAGAGAGTCACCGAGTGTCCATCCAAACCCTTTCGTTTGAAAAAATCCTTCCTTAGCCTAAAATCACTCAGTATATTGAACAAATTATTATGACATAGTCACCTGAATGCATTAAAATAAATTTACATTTATTCATTAAACTTAAACCACCATATCCACTAGTTTTGTTTTTTTTGTTTTTGTTTTGTTTTTTTCACCTGTGACAAAAATGTGCCCCTCCTGCTCCAGTTGTATGCACTTCAGATGGGGAGGCCCCATTTTGTAAGATGCTTGTAAAATGTGGATTTAATTCTTTTTTTTTTTTTTTGAGACAGAGTCTTGCTCTGTCACCTAGGCTGGAGTGCAGTGGTGTGATCTTGGCTCACTACAACCTCTGCCTCCCACGTTCAAGCGATTCTCCTGCCTTAGCTTCCCGAGTAGTTGGGACTACAGGCACATGCCACCATGCCAGGCTAATTTTTTTTTTTTTTTTTTGTATTTTTAGTAGAGATGGTGTTTCACCATTCTGGCCAGGCTGGTCTCAAACTCCTGACCCCGTGATCTGCCCACCTTGGCCTCCCAAAGTTCTAGGATTACAGGTGTGATCCACCGTGCCCGGCCCAAATGTGGATTTAATTCTATCTGAGCTGAACAGATAAAGATAATCATGATTTTTTTTGTGTGTGTGTGTATGTGTGCATGCATATGTGTATGTGTGTGTGTGTGTGTGTAGAGAGAGAAGGGAGTTATCGAAGGTTGCTGGAGGTGCCCAAAAGTCAGGAACCAGAATCAGCAAAACCCAGCTTCTCCTGGGGTGTGTTAAGCAGTTGCTGGACACGTTAAAAGTGAGCACTGGACTCCTAGGATATAAAAGTAAGATGTGAGGAAAGGGGATTCAGTTCACTAGATAATAATACAACAGGCCAGGCACGGTGGCTCATGCCTGTAATCCCAGCACTTTGGGAGGCCAAGTCGGGCAGATCACGAGGTCAGGAGTTTGAGACCAACCTGGTCAACATGGTGAAACCCCATCTCTACTAAAAATACAAAGATTAGCTGGGCGTGGTGGCGGGCACCTGTAATTCCAGCTGCTCGGAAGACTGAGGCAGGAGAATCACTTGAACCTGGGAGGCGGAAGTTGCAGTGACCTGAGATCGCACCACTGCCCTCCAGCCTGAAAAACAGAGTGAGACTCCATCTCAAAAAAAAAGAAAAAAAAGTCTGGGCGCGGTGACTTACTCCTGTAATCCCAGCACTTTGGGAGGCCGAGGCGGACAGATCACCTGAGGTCAGGAGTTTGAGATCAGCCTGGCCAACATAGAGAAACCCCGTCTCTACTAAAAATACAAGAAATTAGCCGGGCATGGTGGTGCATGCCTCTAATTCCATCTACTCGGGAGGCTGAGGCAGGAGAATCGTTTGAACTTGGGAGGTGGAGGTTGCAGTGAGCTGAGATCGTGCCATTGCACTCCAGCCTGGGCAACAACAGCAAAACTCTGTCTCAAAAAAAAAAAAGTAGAGAGAAAGAACAAAAAGTAATGATCTGGCCTATTGAAGCAGATCCCTGGCATATTGTCTGAGTGATCCAGTGAAGGGGCACCCCACCCCCATTACTAAGATCAGGTGATGGACTAGCAGGCAAAAACTGGACTTTTCTAGGAAAAGCCACTTCATAGCCGAAGAGATTGAAACCACACAATCTCCCTTTACCTGGAGTATGGAATTTGGCAGTGGACGTGGGCAGGCACCAAATGGATGCATGTGAGAGTGTGAACGTGCATGTGGCTAAGTGTGTATGTGGCATCTGGTGAGTAACATGTGAGTGGGCATCGGTTGTTGGAATCAAAGAATGAATCAATACATCTCTAGCTCCATTTATCTCAGCTCTTCCTTTGCAATCTTGAAATCATTCCTGGTGTCCAATGTCACAATTTGTTCCGAACAGCTTTGGCTAAGGACACACTGAAGGCTCCACTGAACCTTGAGGCGAACCTACTCTGCGAAGTTCATGGCACAGACTTTTGTGATGGTTGACTGTGTGGGACTGGGCTTACCAACCTTCTCATGTTCTAACCTGACCTGCTCTGACCTGACCTCTGACTCCACTGAGGGCAGCTTATCCAATTCATTTCCAGTGGATGGTTAGGCTTCCTCAAGAGTGTGAATATTTTCTTGCTAAAGTCTCAGGTGGGCCATACTGAGGAAAGGCAAGATGAATTTGGCATGTCTGGTGTCTGAAATTTGGAAGCTGTGAATCAGAGTACAAGAGGCACTTAGATGACAGTTACCATGTCTGCTTAAAAAAACAAAACAAAATAAAACAAAAAAAAAACAGATTTGCAGGTACCTAAATAACACTACTACCAGGCTATGTGTGAGAAGGGCTGTGGGCAGGTTAAAAGCTGAGCGCTAGCCTAGTAAGGGCATGGGGGATCCTCCTGGTTGTGATGCCTAGTGGAATGGGTGAGTGTCTTTATTTATTTATTTATTTGTTTGTTTATTTATTTATTTATTTTTGAGATGGAGTCTCACTCTGTTGCCCAGGCTGGAGTACAGTGGCACAATCTCAGTTCTCTACAACTTCTGCCTCCTGGGTTCAAGCGATTCTCCTGCCTCAGTCTTCAGCTGGGATTACAGGCTCATGCCACCACTCCCGGCTATATTTTTGTATTTTTAGTAGAAACGGGGTTTTGTCATGTTGGCCAGGCCGGTCTCGAACCCTTGACCTCAAATGATCTGCCCCTCAGCTTCCCAAAGTGCTAGGATTATAGGCATGAGCCACTGCACCCAGCCAGGTGAGTGTCTTAACACGACTTTCATTCTGGGTGGCCTGCAGAATAGGCTAACTAGGAATAGCCCTTCCTTCTCCTGGCTAGAGGGGGCACATCCATGCTCAGTTCACCAGGCTGGGGATTCTTTGGAGTATTCAATGCATGCTTCTCCCTCTCCCCAGCCCCCTCCACCAGTGGGAGACACTGCGATGTCCACAGGCCTAGGATGTTCAAACGCTGGTGTTCTCAGACTGCTCCAGTAATGGGCCTGGCACCCCAAATCTAGATTGCATGGTGCCAAGCAGCCTGGTGTACCTCCACTGACAAAGTTGCTTTTTCATGCCAGCTCTACACAAAGATGGCAGGAAGCCCCTCCCACTGGAATGCACACTGGAAGAGCACCCAGCTGCTCTGGCTCAGGGGCCCTCCCCCGCTCGTCCCAAACCCCTGCCCCCTGCAGGGTGGGAAGTGTGAAGAGAGGAGGGTCA